GTGTGTGTGTGTGTGACAGATGGGAGATGAAGATAGGAGCAGGTGTATTTTATATTCAAGTATTTTTTTAAAGAAAACCTGTTTCATTTACTTTTTTTGTGCTAATGACGCCTCAAACTGCCTCTACGACTTCCCAATATTCCTTTCTCTCAGGGCAGTGAGACACCTGCATGGAGTCCTGTTCACTGTTTTTAAGGAGGCATAAGTTGAGGTTTAATGCAGATTCATGGACGTTAGCTCAGAGGTGGACCTGTAACCTTCGAGACGGAGAACAGACAAAGGCCAAATCAAGTCCTAAACTTTGAGTTTCGTTATAATTTCCTCTCCAAATGTAACGCCATTTTAACGAACGAACAAAACAAATTGATCTTTGCTATCATTGTTTCCAGTAATGTAACGTTAACTCTTCGTTGTTCTCTCCTGCAACCTGATTGGATAATTGCTTCAACCAAAGAAGATCTGGGGAATCAAGTGTCGACTTGCTGGGAATAAACAGAGTTAACATTCAGTCTTTGGGGAAGGTATTCAGCTTTTCCAAGTCTAAGTGAAATCACGAGTCATTGGTGTGAAAGTCTAAGTGGAGTCTCAGGTCATCAGATGTCTTCAGTCTGACTGGAGTCTACACCTCTGGTAATCTGCGTGCTAAATATACTTATGTCCTTCTCTCAATTTAGTAATTAATACTCTCCAATGAGTGAGTAATTGGTGCTCGTGCTCTACTAAATCAAACCCTCCAATTACTTCATTAAGTCCCTCAAATTAACAGCTTCATTCATTTGTCTGTATTGTCTCCGCAGGCCGCTGAGATTTAATACATTTATCTCATTACCATCACACGTGTTCTGTGGAGGATTAGCTCAGGAAATCTGCAGCGGCGTCTGAGTTTTTAAAGGCAAAAAAATAAAGCAAAAAGCTTTAATATTGGAGATTATGTTCAAGTTGGAAACAACATCAGGTTGTGTTTTAAAAGCTGAAACAGAAACCTGTGGACCAGAACAGGAGTGCAGTGTGTTCCCTGAGAGGAGCTCATCTTCATGTTTAAACCACATTGCGTTTTCCTGCCGCTCCACGACGACCAGCAGGCACCCGACGTGTTTTCACTCAACGTCCTTTCCTTTGAACGCCGACCACCTCCCTCTGACTTCTCTACATTATGTCACATTGTTGATGAGAATAATCCAGGCAGCAGTTACGTTCCCATTCCTCCAAAACATGTTTAACAAAGCTAATTAGCAGAGGCGATCCGCCCTTTACACTCACAAGGGCCCCGTTTCCCCCTCGTGCCGAAGCAGGTGTCACTGTTTACAACTCTGATGAGAGGATGAATGTGGGAACAGGAATCAGGTAAACTTGTGTTCTCTCCAAGTTTGATGTCAGTAAACAGCAGTATGTGTCTTCCAGTGCTGAACGCCGATGGGCAGCGGCATTTATTAATTGCAGCTCGGAAAAGATAAACCGCGTTTATATGAAGAGCACAAAACGAAACTCAAACTAAAAATATCAGAAAGACTAATTTCTTTACACAAACGTCCTGCAGTTATCGAGTTCACTGTTTGTGTTCAGTTTATCAGCTGTTCTCTGCTGTTATTGTCAAACATTGAATATATTGTATAAAATATCCATTAAATATGTCACATAGTCAGTTTACTGTTCAATATAAAAGGGGTCTCTTAATAAAAAAGGGTTGGGGACCATCGATGTACTTACAGCAGATGTACGTTTTATGTTTGAACTGTTTAATGGTGAATTCGTCCTTCAAGTAAAGACGTTTTTCCCTCTGAGGGACCTGCTGGCAGGTCAGCGGGGTCCTGTTATGTAACTGGGCAGACGGCGTCCCACCATCTGAGGGCACCTTCATCAAGAAGCTTCAATTTGCTGGGGGGCCGCGGTGGAGGTGACACCGCTTTTATTACGCCTCGAAGCCCGGCCTCGTGGGGGTCAACTATTGATCCGATCGGTTCATTCTGATCGTTTATCTTCCTGGCGGCGTCCCTCGCTTCCACGCCTCCCGCTCCTCAGCTCTCTGATGGATCACCGCCTGATCGCTAACCAAACCAAAACCGCAGCGATTTTCCATCAGTCAGTCAATTAGTGGAGTGGACAGGTCGCGCTCTTTCTCTCTGAAACAAAACGCTCGCGGGGTGGGCGTCACTGACGGCGTGCGGAGGAAAAAGAGCCTCAGAGCTGCAGTTTCTGTGTCTTTTGTTTAGTTTTTTTTGTGTCTTGAATTGACGGTTTGACAGTCATTTATGTGCTGAGGGAGTTTAAGGAGGCTTCGGCTTTTCAAACCTGTAATTTGGAAAATGCATGGGTGTCACTGAGAAGAGCTCTTTCCTCTTTTTTCTGCAAAGTCATCTTATTCAGCGGGAGAATCATACAGCCGGCGGATCATTCACTTGTCCCACTTTTACTGTTTCTTGTTTGGTTTTCTTGTTTTCACCGTTTAAACCAACTGAACATGGACATGTTTGGGAGATATTCAGTTCTCCTCAGTTATCTGTGAGACTTTACATCATAAATCTATTTTATATAAAAGTAAAGATGC